CCCAAAATATCCAAAACAGCACCTCTTGGCCTCAGCTCTCATGGAAGTCACCCAGAGATCTTGAAAATATTCCGATGCCTGGGCCCCACCCCAGGGAGTCTGATGGAATGGGTCTGGCTGCGGCCCGGGCCTGGGCATTTAAATCTCCAACAGTGATTCTAATGTGTAACCCAGTTTAAAGACTGGCCTCAAGGACACAGTCGGGAAGCAGAGAGATAAAGGGACTTACTCATCTGAATGAGCCCCAGCCAAAGACTTAACCCATGTTCTCCAAATGCTGGGCCCTCAAACATGAGTCCAACTTCAAAAACAAACCCCTCTGCCATATGGAGGCTTGTGTTTAATGTCAGATAAGGTCATGAGAACAAAACAACTCACACCATCAGTTCATCAAAGAAGGGGCATTTTGACATCACCTTCAAACTTTTTTTTTTTTCAAAATAAAACCTAGCTCTTTCAAAGAATATGTTTTTCTTGATGAAAAAACTTGTCATCTGATTTATGTTTCTCCTTTGTTGGAGACTGGAGAAATCTTCATCACAGACAGGAATTGTCATCTGGACCACCTGGAGCCTTAGTTTTACCATCTGCTAAATGGGGATAAAAAGGGTCCTTGCCTCACAGAGTCCCCGACCTGGCTTCCAGGGTGATCAGCTTATCCTGGTTTGCTCAGGACTTTCCTAGCTTTAACAGGAAAGTCCTGCATCCCAGAATGCCCTCACTCCCGGGACAACCTGGTTGATGTTCCCCATCACAGTGTTTCCCCTTATGTGCCTGATTGTGAGAATCACCTGTGTGCATTTGCTAAAATTACAGATCTAGGGCCCCAACCTGACTTTTTGGTGAGACGATCATGGGAATCAGAAGTGCTGCAAAGTTCTTTAGTTGATTATATGAGACAACTGGGGGAAAATGACTGAAAATATCAGTGATGATCATGGTGATACTTCTAATCATGAAGAACACCTTCAGGGTACTCACTGCGTGCCAGACCCTGTTCGGGGCACCTTCCACATATTAACGCCTTTAACTCCCATGAAACTCTTAAGTGTGTGCCCTTATTATCCCCATTTTACAGAAGAGGAAACTGAGGCCCAGTGAGGCTCAGTAACTGGCTCAGGGTCACTCATTCAGTATGTAGCCGAGCAGGGATTCTCAACTTGGTGGTTTGTCTCCAGAGCCCACATTTTTATCCTGCTGCAGTGCTCTCCACCTAGAATTCTTACCGCTGGGCTGGCACGTCATAAGGCAGATGTGATCATCATTATTGTCTTATTAGCTGTACTATCTTTGGGGCTAGAGGACTTGCCACTGTCTTGCCAACTTTTATCGGAAGGTTTAACTGCTAAACGTAAAACCGCTTCCTTTGACCTCCCCAGACATTTTGACCTTGCCCTGGAGGCTGAATATGTTCATTTCTGCCGATACTGACGTTGACCAATAGGTGGCAGTAACTGTTTTTGTCTCGTGGAAATCCGGCTCCTCGCAAAATTTGAAGGAAGGGCAGGAGCAATTTCACAACACATATGTTGTAACTGCTGGTGGAAAGCAATGTTATCTGAGTCCAAGTTGTCCCTGCAAAAGACGTGCAAATGGATTTTCCTTTTCTGAGTCCATTTGGCCTTGAATCTGCCAAGAGGCTCCTTAAAAGTGCAATGATTGGGATAATGGAACCCGAACTCTGTGGGTTGAAAAAATTTCTCTCCTGCTTGCACACATGACACCTCTCCCTGTCCAAAGATTTTTTCATAACCTCAAATATTTTTATTGAAGGTAGCCCCCAAATTGGACTAAATTTAGATTGAATAACAGGAACTTTGAAAGTTTGTAAATCTATTGGTAAATAATTTTTAATTTTATAAAACCTGGATGATGGAGATGTCATCTAGTGTTGTGTCCATGTTTGCAAGTGGCCTTGGTCGAGGAATTTAACCTACAAAGCTCAGTTTTCTCATCTGTAAAATTGGAATGATGATACCACTGCCTTGTTGATTTGCTATAAGGAATAAATTCATTTACAGCAAGTAAAGCTCTTAGAACAGTTTCTCAGCACATGGTAAGCACTCACCAAATTTGTTGTTGTTATTATTATTATTACTATGTTATCATTACTATGGTTAGAGTGTTGTTGTCATTATTCTTATACACAGTGGGTTCAAATCCTGGTCAGTATCAATTTGGGCAACACAACTTCTCAGCTGCTTCAATCTCCTTATTTGCAAAATGGGTATATGTTACCCAGGGTGATCTTGAGCAGAAGTGGTAAACTTTGTAGAAAGGGCCAGACAGTATATATCTTAAGCTTTGCAGGCCATATGGTCTCTGTTGCAACTACTCAACTCTGCCTCAGTACGTGAAAGCAGACGTACGTAGATAATACATAAATGAATGGGCATGGACGTCTTCCAGTAAAATTTTATTTATGGATACCAAAATTTGAATTTCATATAATTTTAATGTGTCACAATCTATGATTCTTCTGATTTTTTTTCCAACCACTTATAAATGTAAAACCCATTCTTAGCTCACTGGCCATACTAAAACAGGCGGCAGGCTGGATTTGTCCCCCAGCTGTCATTTCCTGACCCTGGCCTTGAATATTCAATATTATATTCATAAAGTCCCATTTATAGATGAAGTGATGGCCTATTGTAAGTATGTATATCTTGGATTTTTTTTTTTTTTTTTTTTTTTTTTTTTTTTTTTTTTTTTTTTTTTTTTTTTTTTTTTTCCTTGCGTTATGCGGCCCTCTCACTGTTGTGGCCTCCCCCCCCCGCGGAGCACAGGCTCCGGACGCGCAGGCTCAGCGGCCATGGCTCACGGGCCCAGCCGCTCCGCGGCACGCGGGATCCTCCCGAAACGGGGCCCGAACCCGCGTCTCCTGCATCGGCAGGCGGACTCTCAAGCACTGCGCCACCAGGGAAGCCCTCTTGGATTTTATAAATAGAAAATATTGCAACATAACTAGTGTCCTGTATGTTTTAGCACTGCTCAGCTTGATTACATGTTGTAGTTAGTAAACATATGTAATCCCCATATTCTGATATCTACCAGGTTCCCCCAAGAAAGCCCTTTTCTGGCCTCCCCAATTTCTGATTACTTGAGTCTATTACCAGGGCATAAAAACTCATACCATGGGCAGAGGCCCATGGGAATCCTTGGAGATGCACTGGCTGCTTTCAGCCAGAAAGCAAAAGCCCTGGCTGTTATTCTGGGAGCCATCAGGGCCGATGAGCCAGCAGCCAGGTCTTTGGAGACGCACGCTACGCTGGAATCGTTTGTGTGCGTGGAAAAGCTTTCAGGTAGTAAGGAAGCTTGGAGCGGCTGAAAGAGTCCCACTTCTGGAACCAGACATACTCTGGGTCAAATCCTCACTCGGCCATTTTCTGGATGTGTCCTGGGTGAGTTTGGGAGACTCAATTCCCTCCTTTACAAGGGGAGGTAATAATAATATGTGGAACATTCCAGTGGTTGGGAGCACAGGCAGCCGGTGTTTGAATCTAGTCTCTGCCATCTTTAACAGCCTGACCTTTGGAAAGTAATTTACCTCCTTGTGACTCAGCTTCCTCTCAGCTAGAGGGACACGATGGCAACACCTCTTTCACACGGGTGTGTAGGGCTACATGAGACGGTACAGGAAACGCTCTTGGAAGACAGTACTTGGAACTGAGAACATGCTAAATTATTGTTAACTATTATCATTATTGTTCTAACAAGGCTCTTGAGAGGTTTAGTGGTAATGTGGGTAAGTGTCTAGTTCAGCACCTGCCTGCCGGGTGAGGGGTTGTTACGAATGATTATTCCCTCCCCTCAACTAATAAGTAATAATTTAGCACCTGATCAATGCAAATGCAGTGCTGAGAATAGGAGATACAACAGTGGGTAAACACAGTCAGTCCCTGCCTTCGTGCTTACAGTTTATTGGGGAAGGCAGACAGAAGTTAAATACTCTGTTTTGCCCTCCAAATCTAGATCAACTGTTACTTCATTCCAGAACCATCCTATTCAGTGCTGCCACCTCTTGCCCTCTGCTGTGGCCCCCCTCTTGTTACGTTACAAATTTCCTTTTTATTCATAGCACTGAATCCTATGTGTTTTGATAACACATTAACATATATATATTGCTTCTTAAGAGCCACACATTATTCTAACCACTTTACAAGCATTAACTCATTGTGTCCTTGTAGCAGTCCTGTAAGGCACAGAGAGGCTAATCAACTCATCCAAGGACACACAGCAGTGAGGGGCAGGGAGAGGGTTCAAGCCCAGGTTGTCTTGCTCCCGGTCTGTGCTCATAACCACTGCAGCATGCTGCCTTGAACTATCGAAAACGGCCTGATTTGTGGATTTATTGTCTATTTGTTTATTGTCTGTCCACCCAACAGATTTCAGCTCCATGAAGTCGGGGGCCTCATCCATTTAATTCACAGCTATAACTCTAGTGTGTGGCACAGCGTAAGGTACAGAGCTGGCACTCACTATATATTTGTTGAATCAATAAATGAATGAAAATATAGCCAAATAAACATATAATTACACGTAGTGCTAAGTGCTATGAAAAAAAAATGCCAGTCCTATGAGAGGTTTTAACAGGGGACTAAATTTAGTTTGAGGATCAGAGAATACTAAAAATTATAAGTATTATTTTAACTGTCCCCATTCTAAAATCTCCTTGATATAATCATTGTGACTGGCTAAGAAAAAAGAAAATGTTATCTACACGGAATATCCTTTTTGAGATGATAATATTCTCCCAGCACTGAAATGCAATTGAAAACTGGGGCTCCATTTGACTTTAATTCTGTTGAATTTATGAGCCCCAAATCTCCCCTCATTCCCCAAAATAAACACAAGCAATTGGTCTACCTGGGGCTTGTGATGATATACCCACAACACCTTGGCAGTCTCTGCACCTTAGTTTTATAGGCAGGAGTGAGACTTCTGCTGGTCTTGGGTTTTCATTTTTCTCTGTGTCTCTCTTTTTCTCTGTTGCAGGAACAATGGGTAACCAAATGAGTGTTCCCCAAAGAGTCGAGGATCAAGAGAACGACTCGGAAGCGGACACTCACAAGGTGGTGTAGTTATGGTCACTGGGTCATTAGCTACTAGTTGGGAGAGTTGGGGTAACGGCAGAATAAACAGCCTGCCCAGGGCTCATCACAGAGGCGTGATTGATGCTGCTGCTTTTCCCAGGGGTTGTTCAGTTGTATTCAAACCTCCAGAACCCATCAAGGAGCTTGTTAAAAGTGCAGGCCCTTAGGCCCCACTCAAGGCCTGCTGAGTCAGAAATTGCAGGGCTGGGAGCCTGTGAAACCTGTCTCCATGGTGATTGATTCCCATGGGGCCAATCTGATCTCTGTTCCCAGGTGGGTTTGGACCAGGGGTTCTCAACTGTGGGTGATTTTGCCTCCCCACCAGCAGACACTTGGCAGTGTTTGGAGATGTTTCTTGGTTGTCACAACTCGGGTAGTGCTACTGGCATCTAGTGGGTAGAGCCAGGGATGCTACTAGACACCCTGCAATGCACAGGGCGGCCCCACAGCAGAGAATGATCCAGCCCGAAGTACCAGCAGTGCTGAGGATGAGAAACCCAGTTTTTGATCAGCAGTTTGCAGCCGTGGCTGGACATTAGAATCATCTGGGAAACTGAAAAATAAATCGTGAGGCTGGAATTGTACCCTAGACCAATGAAATCAGAATCTGTGTGTGGGAACCAGGGCGGCACCTGTATTTTCAAGGCTCCTCTGTTGCGTGTTCAGCCAACAGATAGAACTTGTTTGTGAATCCCTCCTTTAGAAGATTGCTCTGGAGGGCTGAGGCCGGGGACACCCAAATGCTTCTCCTTAGACCTTAGATCTACAAGCAGGCAGCAGAGAACCTAAATGTCCACCACCAGTGCTTCTGCAATCAATTCAGTTTAAGATCTAGAGCCCAGTTAGACACGGAGCTCATTGTAGGAGGAGGTAATACCTACAAACTGATATTGATCACAGCATAGAGGGAATTCCTGCTCAGAACAGAAGGCTGGATTCAGAGAAGATTCTCACACCTGACCAGGTATTAGAATCCCTGGGAAATGTTGAAAACGCCCGATGCCCAGCACCACCTGAGACCAACTAAAACACAACCTCCGGGTAGGGGCCCTGCCATCAGTAGTTTCCCAAGATCCCCAAATGATTCCAAGTCTGGGAGCCTCTGGCCTCCAGGACCAGGCAGTGACAAAAATGAGCAAAGCAGGAGGGTGAAGCCCATTTGCAGACAGCTGGTTCTGACCAACTTTACCCTCAGCACGTTCCCAGAGACTTATTTTTCATGTGAAGCTGGAAAATGGTGTTAATGCAACCTCCTGATTTTTTAAAAATTGGCAACTGATTCCAAAATACTTAAAAAACAAACTTCTGTGAGCCAAGTAAATCAAATTTGCACACCAAGTATTACCCCAGTGATGCCAGTTATGACCTCAGAGCCAAATGATCACATGAGTTTGATATTTCAATTTTATGATTTCTTGGTAGGGTTAATGATAAATTCAAGAACACAGGCTTCTTTTATTTTTATTTATTTATCTTTGGCCACACCATGTGGCTTGGGGGATCTTAATTCCCCGACCAGGGATTGAACCTGGGCCCCGGCAGTGAAAGCACCGAGTCCTAACCACTGGACTGCCAGGGAACTCCCAACACAGGCTTCTCTTAAGCAAAACTGTTACAAAAAATATAAAGAAAGGAAACATCTTCCACATCTCCCCAGTAGTTTCCCATCATCAGGAGGTGAGTATTTTGTCTTTTAGTTTATTTTTCTCTCTGCACTTATTAACATATATTATACTACTAATAGTATTAGCAAAATAAGACACGATATGCAAAGTACTTAGCATATAATCAATATTCAGTTAATGCCAACTATTAGAGGTATAATTTATTTTATTACTCAAATGACATTATATAACATACATTCTTTTTAGCAACCTTTTTTTCTTTCCATGTGAGTGTACGTGTATATGTGCATGTGTATATATGTGTACATCTATGCATACATATATATGTATAATCTTTTTAGATGTCTACAATAAATAACAGAAGAGAAAAAAATTCAGGGCAGTGGTCTAAAATTGGAAGGGTGTTGTAACAGTGCAGGGGAAGGAGTGGATATGGAGCAGCAAAAGAGCAACAACGAACTTCCTGTATTTGATGAGAGAGGCCTGTGCTTGTGTGCAGGACCCTGGAGTGTGGTTAACCTCACAGCATGTCAAGTTCTTGTCCCCTCCCTGGTCAGACCAGCACCCCAGTTTGCCTGTGTGTCCCATCTGTACGAGGGTGTCTGTCCTGCTCGTGCTTGTGGGGCTCATTGAAAGGAGGTAGAGACCATTCAAAGCTCTTATCAACACAGGAGTCCAGTCCTTGCAGCGGTTTATAGAGTTTCTCTGAGGCGTGATAGAAAACGGGGTAGTTCCTAGAAATGCAGACTTTAATTTTGTGAGGCACCCTTGTGGCCTTGAGGTTCTTCCTTGAGTTTTTCCGACCTTCCCCAAAGACTCGGCTAATACTGCCACATGTTCTGTTCCAGGTGGCATCTGGCGACGAGTGTGATCAAAATGGGATGCCGGTGATGGTATCCACCCACTCCGTTCAACTCTACCACGAAGGTCAGTGTCACGTGGGGACTGCTCCTCCTGGGGGTTGGGGGGATGGTGAAGGGTCTGCTGATCCCTGTTGATGGTGAAACAAGATGGAAGAGTTGAAGCCACAGACTCACGTGGAAGACACTTGTATTAGTTCCTGGGGCTTCAAACACAGTGTCACGAATCAGGTGGCTTAAGCAACAGAAATGTATTGTCTCACCGTGTTGGGGCCAGAAGTTGGAAATCAAGGTGTGGGCGGGGTTGGCGCCTTCTGAGAGTTTGCGGAATAATCTGTTTCCCTGCCTGTGCCCTGGCTCCTGGTGGCCTCAAGCACTCCTTGGCTTCTACGTGGTGCTCTCCCTGTGTCTTCATAGCATCTTCCTTCTCCGCTCTGTGTCCAAACCTCCCCCTTTTATGAGGACACAGCCCCGTGGGATTGGGCACACACCCACTGGCCTCATCTTAATTTGGTCCTCTGTAAAGACCCTCTTTCCAAATGAGGTCATAGGAACTGGGGGCTAGGACTTCACCTTCTTGGCAATTCAACTCTTTTTTTGTTGTTGTTAATTATTTTAATTTATTTTTGGCTGCATTGGGTCCTGGTTGCTGCACACGGGCTTTTCTCTAGTTGAGGTGAGCGGGGGCCACTCTTGGCAGTGGTGTGCAGCCCTCTCACCACGGTGGCCTCTCCTGTTGCAGAGCACGGGCTCTAGGCTCACGGGCCTCAGCAGTTGTGGCCCGTGGGCTCCAGAGCGCAGGCTCAGCAGTTGTGGCACATGGGCCCAGCTGCTCCATGGCATGTGGGATCCTCCCGGACCAGGGCTCGAACCTGTGTCTCCTGCATTGGCAGGCGGATTCTCAACCACTGCACCACCAGGGAAGCCCCTCGGCAATTCAGCTCTTAACAGTACTCATCTCTCTTGAGTATGTATGACGCCTGGAAGAGGCCGAGGCTTTACAGCAATGAGTTAAAAGCAGTAGAGTAGAAACACTAAGAGTCTGGCCTCTTCAGAGTCCTACAGACCAAAGTGAAAATCCCTGCCCTGCAACTTACTAGCTGTGTGACCTGGAGCAAGTCGTTTGGCTTTCTAAGCCTCGGTTTTCTCATCTGTAAAGTGGGGATAAGAACACCTAGCTCACAGAATTGCTGAGAGGACTCAAGGAGATCATTCACCAACCATTTTACATATTACCCAGCACTTAGGAATTCCAAAGAAACAAGTAAAGTATAGAAGACAACAGAGAGCAGTATTAAAACTGGACAATGTACTTACCTATTTGATTTCATTCTGGAGTATAAGGCTATAAATTCAAAGCATCAAAAATGACTGGAATATCTATAAATTATATGAGGCAGTATAGCCCATTGGTTGAGGGTAAGAACTCTGGAATCAGACCGCTGGTTTTGCCACCTACCAGCTGTGTGACCTTGAGCCAGTTAATTAACCTCTCTGAACCTCAGCCTCCTTGTCTGTGAAGTGGGATAATAACAGTACCTACAACACAGATATCAGATATAATACAAGTATATCTTTCAGTGCCTGGCACATAGTTAAGTGCTATGTATGTATTAGCTATCATGATTATATGGTGGTTATGGTTGCTCTCCTTTACATGTAAGTTTCTGGGCTTCAGCTTCATTTCCTGAACAATGAGATGAATCATAGCATTGGTTCCAGAGGCTTTAGAGTTTCCTAGTGTAAGAAAAATAACTGCTCTCTGTTTCCCCTCGCTATGCTCTGCTACCCACACCACATCTGACACCAGATGTGTGGGTTTTCCATACAAGTGATTCTGTGACACCAGCTGGGTGTCCCACAATTCAGTTCGGTTCTGACACCATCAACCCAGAGTTAGCAGCAGCTCCCACAGGTAAAGGGCTCACTCCCACAAGACTACCTCCCACTTCAGTTGCCAATGGCAAGTGGGGAGTCCCCAGGTTACCCACAACTTCTGTTTCTGCTTGGCTACAAATCAGAGGTTCTCATGACCTCCTCCTCAGATTCAGTCATTTGCTAGAATGGCTTACAGAACACAGGAAAACAACGTACTTATTAGATTACCAGTTCATTATAAGAGGATGCAACTCAGCAACGGCCAGATGGAAGAGATGCATAGGGGAATGTATGGGGGAGGGGATCCTGGGGGCAGTGGATGGGGCAGTGGATCTTCCATGCCCTCTCTGGACAAGCCACCCTCCCAGCACCTCCATGTGGTCACCAACCCAGAAGCTCTCTGAACCCTGTTCTTTAGGGACATTTGTGGAGGCTTTATTATGTAGGCATGCTTGATTAAATCATTGACCACTGATGGTGGAACTCAATATCCAGCTACTTTCCCCTCCCTGGAGATGGGGGGCGGTGAGGCTGAAAGTCCCAGCCCTCTAATCACATGACTTGTTCCCCTGGCAACCGGGACCCCCATCCTTAGGGGCTTTTCCAAAGTCACCTCAATAACATAAACTCAGATGTGGTTAAAAGGGGCTGTGGCTTGTTATGAATGATAAAAGTCTTCTTCGTGGCTCTTAAAGTTAAGTTTTAGGAGCTCTGCGCCAGGAACAGAGGTGAAGGCCAAATACAGATTTATTTTTTAATTTATTTTTATTTTTTGGCCACGCCGCACTGCTTGCGGGATCTTAGTTCCTCGACTAGGGATCAAACCCGTGCCCCCTGCAGTGGAAGCGTAGAGTCTTAACCACTGGACATCCAGGGGAGTCCTGTATTTCTTAATACATTATACCCCTAGGTTGCTTGTTAAAAACTTAGATGCCCAGAATACCCTAAGGTTGAGGCCTGGGGATCTGAACTGTTGAAAGCCTTCTAGAAGATTCTGACGCATAGCCAGGATTGGCAACCACAGGATGAGATCATGTCACAAGTCTCTTCCTGCCTTTCAACCTTGTGAGTCAGGCTTCTACTTTGATGTGCACAAAATGGATTGTATTGACAGCAGCGGCCTTTGATGAGAACAGTGTAAAGCTGGCTATTGAGACGCACAGACTTTGAAATGAGAATCATATTGTTTTTATAATTTGCAAACTGTAGGTGTTCTCAAAAAATTGAGAGGCACTGAGAATATAATATGCCCTACAGAAATGGTTTTCTTTATCATCATTTTATTTGTATTATTACTGTTGTTGTTGTTTTTATGCCCCTATTTAATATGGGGCACAAGGGCAAGGAGTGTGTAGGAAGGGCATAGGAACAAACTTGAAAATTGAGAAAGCCTTTCTCTCTCTTTCTGTCTCTCTCTTTCTCGTTCTCTGCCCCTCCCTCCCTTTTTTTCTCCCTCCTTCCCTCCTTTCCTCCCTGCTCCCAACATTTATTTTTATATAAGAGGCAGTCTTCCTGGAAAGAGGAAAATAAGTAACAGAAATATAGGGTAACAGTCTGGGACAGTGTATTGCTGTGTGGATACCTACACACAAGGGAAAAGAGAATCTGGTTTGAGTGAGTCGTAGGTTGGTTGCACGTAGCTCTCATACCCTGCAGCCTTGCATCAGCACCGGCTTGAGAATCTGTGAAGGGTTTAAGTTAATCCTCTGAAGTCAAAAACTCTGCCTACGTTCACTGACAACCCAGGTCTCTGCAACTCACTTTGGAATGATTATCTCATTTAATGAGGAAGGCAGCTTATCATCCTCGTGCTCTTTCCCCTGGGTTATTATAATTTTCAATGCAGTTTTCAAAGGGGTATGAAAGTGGGCTTCTGGGTGACTTTTTTGTCCTTTGGACAGAATTTTCTGACTGGGTCTTTTGTTGCACATTTGTGTTCATCTCTCTTGGTGTTTGCATATATGTATGCACATAGAGAAAAGTCACCAGAGAAATAGCTAAGTGGGATGCTGGGTGACTGTTTTCCTTCTTTCCATCTATACTTTTTCCTATTATAATTAAAACTGTTCATTGCCATGCGGGAATGTTTCCTGTGAAGACTTACTGAGATGCAGTGATGGCACAGTGGCTGAGCACACAGCCTAGGCAGTCAGGATCCTAAATTCAAGTTGTGGCTCTGCTGTGTGACCTTAGGCAAGTTGCTCAGCCTCTCTGTTCTCACATCTGTAAAATGGGAATCATAATAACAGTAGGCCAGAGCTTCAAAGATTACTGGGAAGCTTAAAGGAGTTGATACACCTACAATATTTGGAAGAGTGCCTGACACTTGGTCAACATGTGAGGAAAGTTTATTTTTCTGTGTTGGATTGAATGTTAATAAAGGCTGTCATTATAGTTTGAAGTTAACTGTATTAGCTCTGTCTAGCATAGCACTTACAAATTTAAAATCTGACCTTAAAATTTTTTTTCCTACATCCCTTATTCTTTTCCAATGTTTTACTTATTTGTCTTCCAGAGACACTGTGGGAGAAAGCAATCAGGCAAAACACTTCTTTTAAAGTGATTCATGAAATTACATTCTGTTTCTTCATAGAAATAAATTTATCTTTTCTTGGGAAGGGCAAGAAACCAGGGGATTTTGATATCAAACAAACATTAATTAGTACAGCTCATGTGGATGAGGGCTTTCTCTCCAAAGCTTAGCATTATAATTCATCTTCAATAACAATATCCTAGAAAATCAAAATGTCTCATTTTTATTGCCACGTTATATTTCTAGCTTAATTTGCCAATTTCAGATGCCATTTGAAAGTCTTGTGTCAGAGAAAGCTGGCAATGATGCCAAAGCCACGCACAACGTGATTTACCTGCAGTGCCACAGAGAGCAACACACTGTCTTGCAACTTCGGGTTAGAGGCTAACGTGTTTGCTCTACCAAAACGTGATTGTTTAAATTCATATATTCGCTTTCTCCCTTTCTTTTTCCAGTACATGTTGATTTGAATTCCAAAGTAGCTGGGGGAGTACTTCCAACAGAGCAAAATGTCCATTGGTAGAGTGGTTGCACCAGTTAGGGCAGACACACACAGTCCTCAGCATCAATAGGAATGAGCTACCACCAAATACAGCACCGTGAGGGATCTCAAAACTATACTGCTAAGAAAAGGAGGCCAGATGTCCACATCTGAA